CATTTAATTTGCGCATTGTTTGTGCAGCTTTTAGATAATTGCGAGCATCAATTGCCAGTCAGTCAGGCTGGGCGGATCGCCCACACACGGTGGCAATCAAATTGCCGAGCCGCTGACATAGTGGGCGGTTAGGCAAAAGGTGGGCGGTGCACTGACCCGCGCAAAAAAAAAAAAAGTAAAAAAAAAAACCCAAAACCAAATGAAAAGCCACAGAAATTCGCTGGCTTTCATTAAGTTTTCAACGCGATTTGCCTGTATATATAATCAACGTATAACTGTCTCTCTGTCTAGCTGTCCGTCTGCCTGTCTGTCTATCTGTTGTCCGTTTGCCTGTCCATTTGTTTGTTTGCATTTCACGCTTCAGCCTATGGCACCGTATGATTAATCTCCCACACGGCACAGGCGCAACTCCAGCGAAGCACAAATCAGACGGGCAGAACATAGAGAAAGATTCACACACACACACACACGCACGCTCACACACTCTCGCACTCACACTCTTGCACACATTAGAACAAATGATTTCCCACTGTTATTGATGATGTGTTGATTAGGTTCTGAAACACAACACACACACACACACACACGCACACTCACACACACTGGCAACAAATTGCGGCCATGTGAATTTCAAGTCGATTGAGTCCAGAGTTCGAGGGCTTTGCGTTTCATTATGAATTTCACTTTGAACTCGTGCCGCATACTCGCGCCGGGCGCCCTGCTGCTTTAGTGTATTCTGTTGCACATGTATCAGCAACAATAACAGCAACAACAACAACAAAAAATTGGGTCATGTTTGCTCAAAATATGTATTTTGTTGCAAATTTGCAAGAATCATGGAAAACAGCGTGTGTTTAATGAATTGATCACTCAACTAAAAATACATATATAATCACATACATGTATATTTTTGTGTGTGTGTGTGTGTGTGTGTGTGTGTGCGTGATTTGTTTCATATTACAGCCAGCTGTGTCCAATAACCACAAATGCCGCAGTTACGCAAAATGCAATTATCATTTATTAGAAACGCTCTGCAGCTGTCGCTGGATTGTCAAAAATATGAGCATTATTAATTGGGGTATGCGCCATGCACTGCATACCGCTTAAATCAGCCTGAATGCTATGTGGTCGTAAGTAATGAGAGCAGCACTTGAATATTGTTTGAATTTTAAGCTGTAAGAGCGGAAATGTCGCTCGATTGCTTACTGAATACAGGTATTATATTAAACTTTAAAGCGATTGACCGTTTTTGTGATATTTGTTAATTCCTATATCAGAAGCAGAACACTGCAAATTGCTTCCGTCGCCTAGTAAATTACAACAATTATTTATATATATAAAGTATAGAAAATATAAATAAATAAATAGAGACAATAAAAATATATATATGTATAAATAAAAAAATAAAAAATAAACTTTTTTAAATTTAATTTTATTTTTATTTTTTTTATATGTTTTTTACTAAAAAAAAAAAAAAAAACATTTTTATTTTATTATTTTTTTTTTTTTTATAAAAAAAAGAAACCATTTTATTTATTTTTTTTTATAATAAAAATAAGATCTGTATTTTATTATTTGTTTTTTAAAAAAAAAAAAAAAATATATTTTTTTTTATAAAAAAAAATTTTTTTTTTTTTTATAAAATAATAATAACATGATATTTATATAAGATTTTTTCTAGCACGAATTTGTCTCTTCGCTATTTCAGATTTTAAAGTTCGAGTATTTATTTATATAAATTCAAGACTATAGCAAAAATTTGACATTTTCATTAGAGATAATTTGTAATAGCTTTAGACAATTTTCAGATTAGTTTACGGCTTTTGCAACTATTACACTTGACCTTAAAAGATATTTTAAAAATATTTCCTCAAAATCATTATTTGTGGGCGTTCAGCTAGCAGCTATGGAAATATGAAAGCCTTAAGCTATGGTAAGTAACACTCAAAGATGGATAGAGATGAGACTTGTGTGGGCGAAGCAAAAGACGTAAATTTGTTAAAAAGGGTTTCTTTCTTTCTTCCTTAACTCAACATTCTCTCACATCTAACAATTTGTTGTTGTTGAAACTTTTTATATATTTTATAGCTGAAAGCACACTAAAATCAGATTCTTGTAGCTGTTTTTAGCTTGAAACATCGCCTGACATTGTTGAAAATTTATCTGCTTTCAGATTTGCAAATCTCATTTGCTTCCTGCTCACAAACTGATGTTCACCTGTCCAATTGAGACGAGTTATGCTACATGACTTCTAATTAGTATCAAAAAAACAAATTTGGCATTTAAATACACAACAACAACAATTACTAATAATTTTAACTGATTGCAAAAATAAATTGCCCCAACATGTGAAACAAAGCGTAGATAAGTGCAATATTAATTGCAGCTAAATTGTTTCTATAATTAATATAATTAATCAGCTGCTCATTAAGAGAACAAATACTTTACTAATGTTTAGTCATAAATATTTGCTAAGTATTTCCTATAATTTGCTTAATAGCTCGTTGAATGAATTGTCAACTCAGCATAAATTCGTCTCTTCCCATCTCCCCTCACCTCTCATCATTGTTTAATAATTTTCATTTTTACTGCAGCATTCAAACGTTGCGACGTTTATTAAATCAAAATTTCATGCCAGAATTCCTGTATAAATTATAGTTGCATGGCCAATGGAAATGCAATAGACACGCCCACACATAAGTGGGCAGTCAGGCAGTCAGTCTGTCAGCCAGTCAGTCAGGCAGTTTGGCTAATGGTCTGACCAATTGTCGCAAATTAGTAAGACCAACCCACATACACGCAATACACACACACACACACACACACACATACAGACAGATGCTGAGGTAAATGGCCCAAGTAGTTGGCAGCAACACCTAAGGCCAATCACATGCACAACCAAAAGCTAACGGTAAACCAGCGCAGTGGTGGGGAGAGCAGCACCACAAAAAAAAAAAAAAAAAAGAAAACAACAACAACTACAACAACAACTAAAAATACAGCTATAAACTTTACTGCTACAATTGGCAAATTGAAAATTGTGCGCTGGTGGTGCCGGCAGCAGCAGCAGAGCCACAGCAACTGACTGAGCCACCACAGACAGCGACGCGACCACAGCCATGGCCAGGCCTTGGCATAGCCCAGAGCCAAGTGCGCGCATGATGCGTTCAGACTAGAAGATAAGCGGCTGTGAGGCAACTGCGCTGCTGCCGCCTGCTGCTGCTGCTGCTGCTGCTGCTGCTGATGATGATGACGACGACGTAGACGTAGTAGACGTGGCCATTGCTGTTGCTGTTGCTGCGGCTGTTGCAGACGAAGATGCATTTGCTCAGACGCAACAAGTCGCAACATAGACGTTTCAATTTCAAAAACCATTTGGCCCAGCTAGATATTTTAATGAAGCGCCTGCCAGCGCTCTAAAGCTCGAGACGCATAACGGGCCACAGCCACAGCGGGCCAAGACCAGGCCAACTCGGGCTAGACGTCCACGCATAACAACAACAACAACAACAACAACAACAACAACGACAACCACAACTAGCAGCAGCAGCAGCAGCAGCTCGTCACAGTCAAAGGCTTGATAAGGTCGCAGTCAGTCAGCGGCATGCAAAACGAATGACTTAAGCAACGAACTTGCTTTGGCTGCAGCCAGCACAGAAATTACAACAACAACAACAACAAGAGCTAAAGGTGTCCATTTCAATGCCAGTCGTGAACGCACAGTTAGTTCTTAAGTGCTCAGAGCTATGTGTTAGATGTATGCGGTGTGTGCATGTGTGTGTGTGTGAGTGAATGATGTGTTGTAAGTATATATAGGTTGATGTTTGTTATATACACACTTTAATTAAAGCACACGCTCAATAAGTGCCACAATTTGTGTGTGCATATATAGATAATTAGAACTACGAGGGTTGCCTGATACATTTGTGAGTTTTAAGTGGGCTGCAAACAAAATTGGAGTGAGTTTTTGTGATGTTGAAGATGAAAGGGATAAGAGAGATATACTAGATAGGAATTATCTTTTTAAAGATTTATAAGCCATAGGAAATATATCTAATCCTAAAAGAAATTTTTCTTGTAATTTAATCGACTTTAATTGATTTAAAGGCGATTAAAAGTGATCGATAAAGATAATTAAACCTAGATGTTTGTTTAGTTTAAGTTTACAAAATATTTTGGGAGCTCTTAGACTTTACAAAATCAGAATAAATTAACTTTAATCGATTTGAATCAAAAGTATTTGATCGAGTTATCAGAGCTTACAGCTTGAGCTGTGAGAGATATAGTAGCAGCTAGATCTTAGGTTTTTGCCAATCTCAAAAAAGATGAATAAGACTGGAACGACTAAGGCACACTTCTTAATCAGGAATATATAGAATATATATAGAGTTTATAGGTAAGACCACGCCTACTGCTGCTTGTAATAAGCTAACTGTCCGCTACAAAATGCTAATCGAATTGCTTTAATAATACTAATTTTATATACTATTAATATTTTTATAGATAAATTATCAATTTGCTTTAGGCCACCCTCGCACCCACCCACGCACACACTCACAACTTTTCAGTTTTCTTTAGCTATTTTCTGTTGTCACTTTCAAACTTTCGCTTTGGCGTTTCGCTTCTCGTTTCTAGAGAAGCAGCGCACGCCCACACGAAAAATTTTTCACGGGTTCTGCTTCGCGTGCTACACACAACTTGACCCTATTCAGATAGCCTATATGTATATGTACGTGTATATATATTGTAATTAAAGTGAACTTGATTGCCATCATAAAGGCATGGGCCGTTGCTGTTTAGGCGTTAATTTTGGGTTCTACATTTGCCTTTTGGCAAATTATATGTTTCAATCTAAGTGCACTTTCTCCTGCCTTGGACGAAAAGTGAGTTGCGTTTATAGCCATTGTTGTTACTCTTTCTATAGTTATTGTTGCTGTTGTTGTTGTTGTTGTGGGCGTACACTTAATTGCTATTTAATGCCAAAATCGATTGCGGCTTACCTTATGCTTGACGTCTGCTTGTTTGGCTATTGAACTTCAATCACATCACACTGCAAAGACAGAGAGAGAGAGAGGGAGAAAAAATTCGAAATTAGTTTATGAAAATACTTGAGGCTTAACAATATTTGAGATATGTTTTCTTTTATATTTAATAATCTTAAAATAATTATTAAGGTCAACGTTTTGTCAAGCCTGTTTTTGATTTTCATTTCTGAGATTCTCAGCCAAACTCTGTCAATATTTTATATGCCACGCCTCGCTTTAGCCGCACGCCCTTTGCTGCTGCAGTTCTGTTAGTTTCTTTTATTCATTTCTGCGTCGCACTTCATTTAATGACTTCAATGCAATTTGCTAAATGTTGGCCCCAAAAAAGTGAAAACATTCGCCCACTTTTGCTTTCCTTTAACTTTCAATTTGGTGACTTAATTTCTTTGGCAACAACAACAACAAAAGTGCTGCAATAAAAGCTAATGAAATCGAACGCAAGCAACAACGACTTTATTGTTAAAGCCAGTGTCCAGCTAAATGACTTGCGATACAACAACAACAGCAACAGCAACAAATTTAGAGATCGCCAACAAGCTTTGCCCAAGAAATTATCAAGTGCAGCGAGCTTTGGCACTTTTACTTTCATTGTTTGTAGCCGATTCAGCCATTGTTGCCATTGGGCTGATTGTGGCCATCGATGTTGTTGTTGTTGCTATTGTTGTTGTTGTTGCTAACTTACAATTTATGGGTCCAAGCAGCGTTCGCTGTTGGCAGCCGTAGCAAACAACAATTTCCAACAAAGTACTAAACTTTTGGGCCATTTTCCTTTTAGCAGCAGCTAATGAGTAAAACGCTTTTGGCACCAAATCCACAACAACAATAGGAACAACAAAGGCAACAACAACAACATCGTCTCAAAATTACAAAACGATTTGTCTAAAACGCTTTAACTTCGATTTGTCTGGGAAAATGTAGCTGCATCTATTTTTGTGGCATGTGATGAGAAAATAACACCTAAACAGCAACAACAACAATGACAACAGCAACAACAACAATTGCTGCTGCCACTTGGTGTGTTATATAAGCAGCTTAAGCATACGCCACACTGCCAGCTGCAAGCAAAGCAAATCGTAGCAAAGCAAAGCAAATGCAGCAGCTTAATTAAATGCAAATTAGAATGATATAGAGCTGAACTAAGCGATACCCTCGACTAATTAGCATTTATCATAAGACTTAATTCAATCCCTACGAAAGGGCAAAGGAGTGAAGGCAGGCAGCAGGCGAGCAAATTGACAATTACTCTATGGAGAAGGGAAGAATCTAGAGAGAGAGAGAGAGAGACGAGGAGATGAAGCAGGAGGATATGAGGCAGCCTTGTAAAGCTCTTGAAAATCACATGGAAGGGAGTTGCTTATCAAGGCGAGAGTAGTATGATTGAGTAAGAGAGTCTTAAGATAGAGAAAATGAAATGGGCGGAAATGGAGAGAGTGTGAAATAGAAAATGAGAGATAAAGTGATATAGAAGGGTAAAGAAGAAGAGGGAGATGGAGAAGCTAAGCAATAATAGCCGAGAAAGAGAGATAAATAAAGAGAAAGAGAGAGTGAGTGTGTGTGAGAGAGAGAGAGAGAGAAAAAAATGAGAAACAAAGTGACAGACATGGGTAAAGAAAAAGAGAGATAAAGAGTTAAGCAAATATAGGCGAGAAATTAAGATAGATAGAGCGAGAGTGTGAGAGGGAGAGAGAAAGAATGTGTGTGAGAGAGAGAGAGCCAGTTAAAGTTAAGATAGATAGAGAAAAATATATAAACATATATTTAGCGGCAGTTAAATAAGAGAGAATGAGAAAAGTATTGGGGGATATTAGCCTTCCGCTAGTTTCCCATTCTTTCTCACACTAAATCTCTCTACTTCTATCATTCTATAGAGAGAGAGGCAAAGAAGCAATGATTTAGAGAGAGAGAGAGTCAGGCAGAGGTGTACAGCAAGAAGAGGTGAAATTGATATATGCACATACATACATACATCATACATACATTAGTTATAAAATATTCATATTCAATATTTGCAGAGCTTACAAACAATTCTAGAAAATTTCTCTCCATTTTCTATACACATACATATATGCAAATTCCAGCCAAGAATTATAAATTCTAATCAATTGATTTGAAATAGCTATTCCCGTACATGACTTCATATATATGTATATGTATGTATGTACATTCATATATGTATGCTTGAACGCAATTCGCCAAGCAAATGCAGTAAAAAGTTCAACTCAAAGTTTCCCAGCGAGGGAACAAAGCGATTGCAGACTGTTGTTGCTCAGTGTTGCGTTGCAATGTGGGCGTAACTGCAACTGTGACTGTAACGAGCAACGAGATGGCAGACTGAGAGACAGAGGCAGAGGCAGAGGCAGAGTGCAGCATGTAAAACGTTAAATTATCGCAGTTAATCTTATGCACAGGCCGTTGTTTTTGTTTCGGACTTGAGTTAGCTACTCGTATTAAGTGCAGCCACAGCAAACATGCCAAGACAAGCAACAGCAACAACAACAGCAACAGCAACAACTAGTTTGGCTAACATATCAATTAGCAGGCCTAGCCTGGCCTGGCCTAGGTCAGTTCCACAAAAAAAAAAAAAAAAAAAAAAAAAACAAATACTAAAACCTCAATACATGTTTATACAATATATATAAATATACATATACATGTGTGAAATTTTTCCATCCAACACTCTTCGCTCAGCATGGGCTTCTTTTGCAGCGAGAAGATGGATCTGTGCCTGCTGCTGCTGCACGTGGAGAATGCCTTCGATTGCCTAATGGAGCTGGGACACTATGGCGGCATGCAGTTCAATAATGTCTTCGATGAGGATCACATCTTGAACGGCCTGTATACGAAGGGCGTGGTGCTGTGCAGCGATCTGTTGCGCATTGTCGACTATCTGGAGGCCCAGCTGAAGCACGCGGATATCAAGGAGGTATATTATGCGGACGTGGATACAAATCATCGACCACGTGAATCCAACATATTGCAATACGATCGAAAGCTGCGCCGTGTGCACGAGGAGGCGACATCGGTGATCGAGCATGTGACAACGCTTGAGAGGCGTTACAACTATATGATTGAGAAAAGTTTTGCGCTGAGCAATGCGAATGAGTTTCTGGAGGTCAAGCGGAACAGTAAAGCCGAGCTGGTCTACACGGAGAGCTCAATCATTCATCTGTTGAAGGATCAGTCGGAGGGCGAAGGGCATAGCTCGCAATTGAATTATATTCTGGGCAGCATTCATGTTGAAAAGTTTCGAGCCTTTGAGCTGCTCATCTATCGTTTGTATGGGCGCAATGTGCTCGTCCGGCACACGGAGTCGCCAACGACGAGCACGAACTCGACGGGTCAGGAGAAAGAAATGCCGCACAAATATGTGGTGCTCCTGATGACGACGGCGGCTGCGTTTCGGCATAAATTACTGAAAATCTGTCAGGCATTTCATGTGGTGATCTTTGAGTGCCCGGAGAGCCCAACCCAGCGAATGCTTATGATCGAACAATTGGCCAAGGATATTAGCGACCTGGAGCTGGTGCTGGGCGAGACGCGCAAAGCCCACAAACGTTTGCTAACGATCATTGCCAACGATCTGTATATAATGCGCATTAACTTGCGCAAAAGCCTGCGAGTTTATGATCTACTAAATCGTCTGTATCCGATCGGCCCACTGGAGAATAAAAAACATCTGCAAGTCGAATGCTTTACGCCCAAAATGTTAACCGACGATGTGCGGCGGGTGCTTAACAACGGCATCCATGCGACGGGCGACGAAGAGAAGTACACGGCGCCACTGCTGATCAAACGTACACGCCCACTGCGCCACATGCCGCCCACATATTTTCAGCTGAATAAGTTTACGCAGGGCTTTCAGAATCTGATCGACGCGTATGGCATTGCCGACTATAGAGAACTGAATCCGGCCCCCTATACGATTATAACGTTTCCATTTCTATTCGCGATCATGTTCGGTGACATGGGTCATGGCATTCTGTTGACGTTGTTTGCCTGCCTCATGATCTTTGAGGAGAAACGCATCGAGCAAGTGAATCGGACGACAGTTAGCGAGAATGAGATTAGGAATATCTTATATGGCGGACGCTATATCATTTTATTAATGGGCATATTCTCCATATACATTGGCTTCATCTACAACGATATCATGTCACGGCCCTTGAACCTCTTTGGCTCCAGCTGGAGCTGTGTATACAATGAGACAACCGTACTGGGCCTGACCTCACAGTTGACATTGGATAGCAATGATCCCAAATTCTATACGGGCCATCCCTATCCCATTGGCGTCGATCCGATCTGGAAAATTAGTGGCGAAGATGCCATCACAACATTCAATTCACTCAAAATGAAGCTGGCCATCATATTGGGCGTTTCGCAAATGATGTTCGGCCTCACATTGTCGGCGGTCAATTGCATCCATTTGAAGCACAAGGCTGATCTATTTCTAGTCGTCATTCCACTCTACATCTTTATGATCTGTTTGTTCTGTTACCTGGTCTTTCTCATCTTCTTCAAGTGGCTAATGTATGGGGGCTTGAAGCAGTCCCCATACAATTCAGCGTGTGCCCCATCTGTGCTGATCACCTTCATCGACATGATGCTGATGAAGAACACTGAGCTGGAGGATAAGAACTGCAACCAGGGCATGTTTCCAAACGAACGCATATTGGAATATGCTCTCGTTTTTGTAGCCTTCGCGATGGTGCCGGTGCTATTGGCCGGCAAGCCGATCTATTTGACCTGTCGCCAGAGACAGTTGATGAAGAATCGCAGGAAGAAACAAGATACGGAAGAGCTGCATCGCAGCAGTAGGAATACCATCAAGGAAATGCGCTCCTCGTTGCGCTACACCATCGACTTTGAAGAGTCCGATCGTCGTTCAGTGCCAAAACTAAACACGCTCGACGATGCCCTTGAGTTCGATATGTCCGAAATTTGGATACACTCGGGCATCCATACGATTGAGAGTGTTCTGGGCTCAGTCTCGCATACGGCCTCGTAT